CGTTCACTTCGTTTGATTATGCTGTTTTGTGTTACATAGAACTCAAATCGAATGGTTTACTTTTTACGCGCGGGGCGTACGCTTTACTTCTTGATTCAACCTCTTTCAAGCTGAGGTCACGGTCAAAAAGATAGACGCGTATTGAGTAAGTGCAGCCATCTTGAGAGCTGAGCGATCACGCTAAGGACGCTGAGGGCAGTCCGCTCTACAACTTGTGAAGCGGAGCGCACGCTCACTCCTCTAACTATACGCTCCAACTCAGAGCGGGCCACGCATGCGCGGTGGGGACAATGCTTTTCGCAGAGCGTAAAGTAGAGCAAAGAGGGCTCATAAAAGTGGCCTACTAATACTCATAGATTACGAAAGCGCTCGTCGTGACTTGTCCTGACATTGCCCATGTACACCTTTGGCGTATAGAAAAAAGTAACTTTTCACCAGACAGAGCAGCTGTGCTAGAAACAATGGATACGCGAAATTTACACAAACCATGCATGGTCTCACCTGTGAGCACAGCTCTAGTTTCGCCAGGGTCAACCACCTATGTTTGTTCATGTCAGCGAGCAGGTGGCCGAACCTCTCGTTGATGTGACCCACGATGAGGTTCACAGAACTGAAGAACACCGACAAGCTCCGTCCAAACGCTCATCCAAGTACGAACAGACGGTTGGGATAGGCCAGTCGAGGAAGAACCATGCAAAGCGTCTCGCGAGATCGGCAACACCCTGCGCCGATCTGTCGGGTGCTGGTATTTGGAGGCCCGCATGCAGAACAGCCAGGTCCTTCTTTAAGCAGGATAGCTTCCTAAAGGGTTTCTTTTCTACGTTGGAAATATCCAGCAAACCGCGTTCGGAAAGGAAGCTTCGGCGCTTGATGGCACGAGGGATACGAATCATAGATTCGATGTCTCGCCAGCTTAATATCGTTAGTAGAAGTCTCCTTCCTTGAGAACAGCGGGGATTCATCGTGCAGATGCCTTGCTAGCCTTGAGCAACACTGTACTCGTACTACGCAAAAGGATGTGCTCGCAATGCGCAAACTTCGTCCTTTTCTCTTATTTTTCTACTTCGAATAAGTAAATCTGTTTCAGTTTTAATTCGAGTGGAGCAGAAGCTACAAGAGCGAGTGCCGGCCTTTCAGCGTCCTTGATAAGCACGCGCGCTCGTGCAGTGCAAGTACCGTTTAGAGCAACACGCTCATGCTTATACCTTCGGCTTCACTCGCACACAAGGTGGAACGATTATATTTATATTTTATAGCTTAATATTTCTTCAGGTGTGTGCCTACTCTTTTGTGTTCATTATTGTCGCCTTCGTTTTTACTACCTCTACAATCACGCTCCCTTTTACTCTCTTGGTGTTAACGCTTAGGTTTTTTTGTCTTACTAGTACTATAAACGTCCACTTGTGGGGCCACGCAAGCAAATTTTTCGAACCCGCTCAAAACGCTCTTACGCTGAAGAAAAACGCTCTACTAAAACGCGTTTTTGGACCTCCGCTTTCCATTCCGGCGAAGCGGGCCGCGCATGCGCAGTTTGGCACCCTCAGAGCGGAGCGGAAGATGAAAACGGTCTACTAAAACTCTCTATTAACCGCTCATTCACACTGAAAGCGGATCCGCGTTTGCAAAGCGGTTGCGAATGTGGTTGCATAAAGATCCAGTACAACTGCACGCGCACTCGGTGACATCTAGTGCGCGTGCAATTGTACTGGATCTTTATACAACCGCGTTCGCAACCGCTTTGCGAACGCGGATCCGCTTCCAGTGTGAATGAGCGGTAAGACAATTTAATGTTGTGTGTTTTGTTTTAATGTCATTGCCACTTAAGAGCCACTGAGGTGGTTCTTGAAACAAAATACAATCAAAGCATTCCGACAAGTATAGTTTCATTGTGAAAATGATTTTTGCGAGTAATAAGAACATTAAAATGTTTTCGCATACGCGGCGGAATCTGAAATGGCAGAATGCATTTCATGGCGCCCGTTTCATTTGGATCGCGTCGGGCATGTGTACCAACGCACAGTAGAACGCGCGCAAAAGTAGCTGTGGCGCACCCGCAGCCTCGCGCTTGTTCTAACATCACTGGCTTGCTCAAAGCGGGCATCCAGGTGTCTAACACCCGGACATCTGGCGCTTTTTCTGTCTTTCACGTGGCGTTCCAAGCGGCATGTGACGAAAGACGCCCATCAAGTTGTCGCCATCTGTACTTGATATAAGAAACTACAATTTACCGTAACTGAATGGGAAAAGTTTGAGGTCTTATAACATTCTTAACGTGTAATATATAAATATAAATGTTCTGGAAAATGTAATATCCAAGGATGCTTCATAATTTAATGTCTCGTTATTTTGATTAGTTGACGTGATTCCGTTTTTATAGCGCCATAAAATAATACCATTTTAAACTTTATTTTTTATTTTAAAATATAAATGATGCGTACAGTTCCTTGCTTACTTTTTTAATTAATTGCATTCAAGCGAACGCTCACGTAAAATATTGTGGACGATGAGACGTTATAACTCAAGAAATATTTTTTTTTCAATATTAGAGACTGTGGTCTATAAAAAGCTGAATAAATAACTAACAACTGAAGAACAACAATTAAAGAGCTGTTTTGCAACAATTGTTGAAAAACAGCTCTTTATTTTGACATTAACTTTATATTTGTAAGATACATAGAAAGAAAGTTATACGCCGTCAAAAAAGCGCCAAAACGTCATGGATGGTGGGGTTGCACCTTAAACAAGCATCGATAGATCAAGGGGCTTTCTCAATGTTTGCAGTACAATGGAAATGAACACTTTGTGCCACCGGCGCTCCGCTGAGTAAAATTAGTGCTTTTTTGAGGCATTTAGCTTTTTTTTTTTTAATGTTCTGCAACTGATAATGTCAGCTTTATGCTGCTTATGGCGGCAATACAATGTTGCTGTCAAGCGCCAATTTTTACTTTTAGGAATTAGAGGAATGGTGTGAAACGATTCAGCCATTCCAGGAGTGAGAATGAGCCCAGTGTCCCCATTCCTAGGAGTCAAAAGGAATTGAATTATCGAAAACTGTAATTCCCCGGAATGGAATTGGAATGAGAGGGGGGTGCACATTCCGCAACACTGTTGTCGATACCGTCAGAAAAAAGTTTTTGTTGTTGTTGTTGTGATTTTGAGGCTTTTATTGGCAACGGCATTGGGGTTTGTAATCCAGAAGGACTGCTTACATGTGCTTGAGCACCACAGGTATCCGAGGCGGACGATTTTTATTGTAAGTTACCACAATGAATGGAGTCGTGTCCTCATCCCCTTCGATTGAGTCACCCACCAAGTAGCAAGATGGTTTGTCATTTTCAAATGGTTCATCTTTGTTGCTGTCTGTACGTGGCCATTTGACTGGGATAAAATTTTGTTTGCCGATGACGGTGCTGCGTCTTTGAGAAGATCGTTAGACGGTGACGAATCTTCAGTCCCGCTAACAGATTGCCTTAGAGGTGGTTTAGTCATAATTGGAGACTCTGAAACGTCGTCTGCTGACAAAGTTGTTCCATGCCGAGCCGACAGAGTAAAGTGTAGGGCTGGATGCCGTTTCCGGGAACTCACCGTCGGCTGCAGACCAGGCAATCGACAGCCAAGACCACGGTGAACAGCAAAACGATCACGATTTGTTAACCAGGACTTGAGTGAAAAGGTTTCAATAAGGAGTTAAATAGAAAAGCTTCCACTTTAGCTGAACACCGTCGTCGTTTTTTACACATTAAGTGTGTTAAGATTGGCTTTTAAATAAAATTTTAAAACCAGAAAATAAAAAAATACAACACTCAGCCGACCATGTGCACTGACAATTCTTAATTTTAACGATAAAAATACAATTGTTTGACTCAATGCACAGCAAGACAAAACCGACATTTGTTTTGTGAAAAGAAAATACGCATATGGGGGAAAAAGTTTTGAAGTACACTCTCAGTCGGAAGCGCTTTCTGAGGACTGTTGCGCTAAGTTGGCACCCCCCAAACCGGAATTTACAGTCAGCCACGACGGAATATAAAAAATGTTGGACCAGCTAACCCTGCCCATTACCATCACGCCACGCATTTTTTTTTTTTAAATAAAACCGTCAAGAGCCATTCATCACGCTTGGTTGATTTCGTGAGCGTGAGAATCCTTTTGATACCATTATCAAGGAGTGCATGCAGAAACGTTAGACATATTGGAGCAGATTTCTTTCATTAGAAGTCGGTAACCATCAAAGTACTTAAGTACTGGTTTTCAGCAAAATATGATTTGCTGAAAATTGTTCTATAGAATATTTTTGCCTGAACTGCTCATTCGCGAAATTACAAATTCGTCTTTCTATGCCTTAAAGGACACCTGAAATATTCAAAACTTAATTTGTAGTTGTAAAAATTTCAGCCTTTTCAACAATTTTCTGACATTTCATATATTATTTCAGATATGAAATAAAACTTCTAATTAACTTTTGATCTGGACCTGCTTTTTATTTTTAGTATTCAGGGGGAAGCAAATTAGATCAGGTTCATGAGTAGTTTGCAATAATCGTTGCGCTTATGTTTGCTTGTGGCAAAAAAAAAAAAGATGCATGTCACCGTGATAAACTTTTTTTAGTACCTGGTGGAAGCCACTGTGGCAAGTTACGACTGTGAGAGAAGAACAAGAAAACGCATTGTGGTTTCGTTTACAGCCGCATACTTCCTTGCTTTTATTAGCGTTATCTGCTGCTACCGCTCGGTTTGCTGACCACTATACCCAGAAGCAGATACTCAGTGCACCTCCTGAAACCCGAAACAAAGGCAACAAAGAGGTACAAAACACAAAAGTCTCAAAACACGATGTCGATTAACAACCAGCTTGATTGCTGAATAACGTTCTCTCCAAGAATGTCTGTGGTCCGTGAATACATCACTCCATAGAGCTACCTGTCCTAGCACTTACTGCACGGTTCCTATATAACTAAAAGTCTAACTGTCTCAATATGGTGAACTATCATCTGTAGATGTCGACACGGCAAGACCACCAACAGGTTTTGGAACGAGCCAAGAGAATGCGGACCATCTTGTCTCCGCGCGAGACTTTCACCAAGTTCATGTTCGACGAGGTCCTGAAAGAGAAGAGGGTCATTTTCCTGGAAACCTTCACCTTCACGTACTGGGTGGGGAAGTTCTACAAGAGCATGCCGCGCGGGGAGTTCTACATGGCCAAGGAGACCGTCGTCAACCCGGCCATGTGCATGTGGATAAACCGAAACATGGACAGCTATTTCATCCGGGCCATTCACGTGCGGTAAGTGTCTCTGTTATACTGCGTTGTCGCATCACTAAAAGCGACCGTGAAGCAGACGCTGGGGGCAAGGGATCTTTATGGCGTCACAGGGTCTTTTACAGCGTAGCTGTATATTCAATGTTTTATTCAGACAACATACATCAGACAGTTGTCTAGGGACCGTCTGAAAAGGCAATTAAAAATACCTGATGAGGCGTCGACACCTTGCCCCCTCCCCTCCCCCCCTTCCGCACATCACTCAGCGTGGCACATACGAAGGCAGAATAATGAAAACTTGCGAAACGTAAACAAATGTATGAAAAGCCTAAGCATAACAATGCACACGGGATAGCACTGCATAAAGGTCAAGAAAATAGCAAATAACATGCTACGATAAAGAAAATGAAAGCCGTTTACAACTTCCTGCAACACCGAATTAGAGCGCAGCTCTTGAGGAGGGGGAGGGGAAGGTACGGAGAGGAGGCTATGCCCCTCCTCTCCTGCTCGCCTTCCATTTAGGGGAAACTTTTTCCGCTATATTTAGCAGGGAAATTTTTCCGCTAAATTTAGAGGTAAAGTTTTTCCGCTAGATTAAGCTGAAAACTTTCCCCGCAAAATTTAGGGGGAAAATGTTTCTGCTAGATTTAGCGGGGAAATTTTTCCGTGAAATTTGGCGGAGAAATTTTTCTGGTAGATTTAGCGAGGAAATTGCTCCGCTAGTATTAGCCGGGAAATTTTCGCCCTAAATTTAGCGGGGAAATTGTGACTCACAGGCCGGACTTCTTGAATTTTTTCGTGTCGTCGTCTTCACTGAAAACTACATTCGGCGAATAAATAAAAAAGGGCATATCACACATTTAATTTAATTTAATTTATTAAAGTACCTACATCGCCTAGAAGGCATTACAGTAGGGGGGGGCACAAAAATAACATGCAAAATATACATCGTTATACACGAAAGAAAGAAGAAAACACTACTACACTTATAAAGACTAAATCAGATGAAAATTTAAACAATTAATTGAATTTTCTAAAAGAACAGCTCTGGCATCAAAGTTTCTACAATGTCATTAGGAAGCTTATTCCAATCCTCAACAGACCGTGGAAAAAAAGAGAATTTCAAAACATCAGTTCTGCACTTAAATGGACGGATCTTTTTTGAATTGTCCACCCTTAAAGACACATAAGCAGGTTCTAGAAGATGTGTTGATTTACATATACCAGTATTATTGTGGAAGATGTTATGCAGAAGTTTTAGACGAAGGTACTGACGTCTGTGCCTCAGCGGCCTCCAGTCCAGCGATGACTTCAGTTCAGTTACACTTGTCCTGAAATCATAATTTCCGGTAACAAACCTTGCAGCACGGTTCTGTATTTTTTCAATCTGCTCCTCCAAGTTGAACCTATAGGGGTCACATATTGTACACGCATAATCAATAACTGATCAAACAAGTGAAAAATATAAGGTTTCTTTCAGTGACGAGGAGGCCAATCTAAAATTACGTTTAATGAAACCTAGCGATCGACTAGCCTTGGCGGTTATATGGTCAACATGTTTATTCCAACTTAAATTTGACGAAAAAATAACTCCTAAATATTTAGTTTCATTTAAAAGGATGAGGGGCAATCCACCAATGGTGTATGAAGAAGGGAAGAAATTCGTTTTTCTTGTGAACCTGATATAGACACATTTCGATATATTCAAAGACATACGCCATTGAAAACACCAAGCTTCAATCCTGTCCAAATCACTTTGAAGAGCAAGGGCGTCAGCATTACATGAAACATCTGCGTACAAAACGCAATCATCGGCATATAATCTTGTTTTAGAAGAAACTTTTTCGACCAGATCATTAATGAAAATTAAAAATAGGAGAGGTCCGAGTACCGATCCCTGTGGGACACCAGATGTAGCTGTTGTATGTGTTACACCAGATGTAACATATACAACATACAGCAGATAATTCATTTCAATAAAGTGCAATGACAAAACAAGCATCCAAGCCAGATTATTGATCATAATGCGTTCCTGATAACAACGCGAAGCACGTAGCGCTCACCGCATACGTTTCGCGGTAAAGATTCCTGCTGCTCAAGCTGCCGCAGCGACGGCAGCTTGCGACGTACTGAGTGATGCCACTAGCCTTTCTTATTTAAAAGGGTTGTGGTACAGTGCATTTTGTCAATCATTTGGTGTAGACCCTTTTGCTGTTCACAAACACGAACTGCTGCTTCGTCCCAAGCGACTTCCGGACGCACCGTCTTTGCAAGCCTCTTGAGCTTGCTTATGTCGCCAGTGATAGAAAGCATAAGTGCTACACGGACAACAAAGTTGGAGATTTAAGAATGGCTTTCCGCTGTACAATATTAGATCTTGGAGGGGGCAAGTGGGTTTACAGGAACCCTCAAAGCATTTTAACAGATCTCGCATTCCTTGGTTCTTTTGGCGCTCACCTGGAGAGTTAGTGGTTAAACGTTTCATGTTCATTTCATGCAGCGGTGTTAAGGTGGCCTTTGTTCATCATTTTTATAAACCGGAAGCTCTCTGAGACATGAAAGACTGGAACACCACCTGGTGGCAAACTGATGGCAAATTCACCGGCGGATGTGCTTGACAGCGGCACTCGGCTCAGCTCCGCCGTTGATGGTCTATTCACTCCAACGAGGTAGAGGGGCTTAGAGTGATAAACCGGAAGTTCCGAAGTGGCACCCCCCCGGTTGCCGCCATGTTTTACGCAAATGTGACCACTCGTCACGTGACCTCACAAGAGCCGTGACGTCGCAGGTAAGATGGCAGCGCCCAGAGCTGGCGGATGCGAGTTTGTTCGGTGCGCGGCAGCCGTGATGTGCAGCGGCTTTCCGACGATTTCGGGCTTTTTCGTGCTCGCTGACGCAGGTATATTGTGAAAATATGAAGGAATGAGACTCTATACCCTGTTTGCTTAAGATCGCTCTGGATCATATGGATATTAACACCTGTGAGACAGCATCAGCCGTATCGCCGTACCGGTGCTCGGATTCCGGGATGTGTTCGAGAATCGATAAAACTTTGAGTGCTTTTAGCATGAAATTTTCGCGTTTTCTTAGCTTTGTTTGAACATTGAAATGTCTATGAATCGACGCGAAAGGTATACGTCGCGTTAGGGCCTAGGAGAAGTTGTTTCAGGCCTGCGTCACCGAATAACCATAGCAACTTTTAGCGAGGAAGCTCCTGCGCCCTTTGTGCTAATCGGCGATTCTACATTCGATCGCCTTTCTTCCCTTTTTGGTGAGTGCGAAGTGCACACTTATTTTCAGCTACGAGGATTACGTTTTATTGAGTGTGGGGATGAATAAATCGTTGCAGGCACCTGCTTCAAAGCTATTCGACTTGCAATAACAACTGTTTTGGTGTATGCATAGATTAACTCACCTTTTCCACTTTCGCAGGATTTATTGCAGCAATACTTTTTTTCATAACAACTGCATTGTATTAGTCAGTCAATTATTTACTTGGTCTAATTACATGGATAAGATGATTCACATTTGTGTTCATCCCTTGCCTGAAGAGCAGTCTTGTTGAAAAATGTTGACCATTCCTTTCGGTCTCTTCAATAGCCTTTTTTTTTAAAAGTGTGGGTTGTCTATACTTCGTATCATTGTAACCTGGAAAAGGACAACCGCCACAGCCCCCTCGAGCCAATCAGATAGACAGAGCGAAGGTGTGTGACAAATCTGTGCAGACGAGCACTCTGAATGACATGTTGTCATGTGCCTCTCTCCAACGTGCATATTGGCTCACCGAGACTGTAGCCTTTGCTGTTTGCCAAATTATGATGAAACAATTTACAGTAGCTACTACTCTAATTACCCCAGGCTTTCATACTTTGGTCATTTGTTCGACAAGAATGTTACGTCCGCCATCACTGTGAACTCGGCTCAGCGCCCATTGGACTCGAATGCTGCATTAGCATTTGACGTGAACTGGGGCCCATTTGTGTGCTTTACGCCGAAAAAAAAATGGCAACAGTTGTGTTGCTTGATGGGTTTCTGCAGAGGGTCTACGTATAGGAAGTGTCCTGCTACATAACAATGCATCAACACATACGATTAAAGTACATGCTCAGAGGTGTGTTCAGGAAAAGTGGAATGAGTGCAACCCAATGCAACAAGTCTGCCAGTCTGATATGTCCCATCAATTAATATTGAAGGGTCAGAGATGCGAGTGTCCTCAAAAGGACCTGCGCGTGTGGTGAACACAATTCTTGGTGTATAAACTCTCAAGGCATAAAGGCAAGCGGAAATAGGTTTATCTGGTTAGTGTATCAAATGTTTATTTCCACTGCATTACATAATTATTGATTCTTAGTTAATGGTTCTAGAACGAATTCTTTCTGCGACAGTCTCCTGTCAGGCGTTCAATCGTAATACCTGTGGACCTTGTTGTGGGATGACGCTCCTGGCACGTCTGTGTTCAGTTTGGTCGAGTAGCAACTTTGACCGACTGATGCAGTCTTGTAATCATACGTCATGTGCGCCTACTGACATCTGATGCACTGAAGCTGCAGGGCTGGCTTCTAATCCGCGAAATTTCCCTGGTAGTTTTCTGCATCAATGCAGCAAGCTCGGGCATGTATTGGTTATATGGCTATGCCTTTTGCTGTACCGTTGACTTGATAGCTGGCAACAATGTTTGCTATCCAAGCCATTTCACTTCCATCTCGTAATGGAGATTTATTGTGCATCCCACGACCACTGCAACTTGTGCAAGTCTTGTGTGGCAAAGTGAAGTCTCGTGATGCTTGCAGTCCACTTTTGAGAGAAACCAACCATTCTATTTCTTAAAGGGCCCATGAAACGATTTTTGGGTTGGGATAAATCATTTTAGATTGGGATCTTACTAATAGCACATTGTTCAGTGGACCAAAGGAAAAAAAGGTAGAAAGTCAAAAGCCTGACTTTCAGTGCGAAAATTTGAAAACAGAGCGGACTATTTCGTACCTCCTCCCCTTCGCGACCTCTCTGCCTTTTCACTGTGATAC